GATGGTAAATTTAGTACTAAATTTAGAACCAAATTAATGCATTTTTTTAAGTTCTAAAAAAATTTACGCAAACAGCAATATTGACATTTAAGACAAACTTATTGTTAAAACGTATTAACTTATGGTTTAGCGGCCCACTGCAAAATGTTGGGTCGATCACTAGTATGGCTAAATTTTCATGAAAACGTCTGGTAATATATTGTACAATAGTAATCCGTCGGCAGCCGCCCCACTATCGTTTGCGTTTTACGTTATAAAAAATTATTAACAATTGAAAATATGTGCCACTTTCCACCCATCTTCAATTCAATTCTATCTGGCCAACATAATGACAAAAGCTGTATTTAGTGAACAAATTACATCAGATGTTAACCGGTTTGAAACATTAGGATCTAGTTTGTATGAAGCATTTAATAATAATAATGGATCAGTCAGTCTTTGGGCACCTATAAAAAAAAAATAAACTACTAAGAAGAAGCAAATAAAAGTAAAAATTGCTGGATCCCTTATATAGATAAATGCAGACCGTTCTCTTTTTGCTCTACTTCTCATTGTCGCACGATCTCGACGAGAAATAGATCTACGCACAACCTTAGGAAAGTATGAAATGTCAGCTGTGCCCAGATCCATGTTTGCATTAGTTGGAACAATGCATCAGTGACCAGCTAAAAGTAAATTGATTTAAATATTGAAGTCTGTAGTGGAAGGAATCCACTGCAAAAGCTTCTTTGTCATCTGCTTAAGTTCACCAATCTAATAATTGCGTTGCAATTGTAGATGCAATGGGAAAATTGCAGGCTTTTGATAAAACTACCGCAGTGAAAATTTGTAAAGATCTTGTTTACCCAAAAAATCCAAAGGAAATACTGGCAATATGATTAATTTCATGTTATTTTCGACACGTACTTGGACGAATCAATAAAAAACCTTACTAGGGGTAAAATACTTCATGGCGGTGTCGCAACATAGTACAAAATATGTGACGCAACTGATATATCAAAGATAAATTAGAAAAAATTGTTATCACATACTCGTACCAAGGATGAATTAAGCACCTATCTTGCATATAGAAGTCATGCCAAGATATCAGCAAAAATATGCATTGTTTCATGGCGCACTGAAGTTTCTGCGACGCACTGCTTTTTGGATTGTTTAAAGAGTACTCAAGAAGAAGCAGGAATAAACATTAAACTTCATGCTATTAATGCGAAAGTTAGAACTGCAGATACACTACTGGTGTGTTTGCTAAAGATACATATATTTTAGCTTTGCTAGTGAAGCGCTATGCAAGGCTACCGGAAAACATATTTTTCATACCATCGTCAAGCGAGGCAATATCAGTTAAAAACATATATGCTTCACTCGCACCACTAAAATCTTCAGCGCAGCCCGGGTTTTATGCAATATCAGGTTGTGACACCACCGAAAGTTTGTTTGGAGAAGGAAAATTATCACACTGGAAGTCATTTATTTCAGCAAGTGAAGAAGAACTTACTGCCTTGCAGAAACTTGGTACCTGATGATGTTTTGCATCACTTAGAAATATTTATTTGCCGGGTTTATGAAGCAAGCTCTCTAACAAAATTACTTACAGAATTACAATGGTAAATGTTTGCTGCCAAACAAGCCCTTGGAGATAAGTTACGGGGATTCCCTTGTACCCGCAATTAATAGCGCTAACCTTTAAGCATTTCTGAGGTCAAAAGATGCTGAACCAAATGAAGTCATCCCTAATCCAGTTGGACACGGCTGGTATTTGAAAGAAAGAGAGTGCTTACCCCTGTTATGTGTGAAGAACCATGTGCTCCAGAGTCTCTTCTTCAACTGATTAGATGTTTATGTCTTATAAGTCGATGTTCATCACCATGTAAATGTTTAGCAATCAATATTCCTTGCACAAAAATGTGTAGTTGTAATGCGGACTAATCATCATGTGATAATTTGTATCCGCCTGATTTTGCCGACGGAGGTAGTGATGAAGTTGATAGTGATGAGGCCGATTTGTAATTTTATTAAAATATATGTGCAAATGTTTCACTTAATTTCTTTAAATACATAAACTAATATAACGTAGACCACACAGAAAAACAGGTGTACTATATTCAAGATGTATGGTCTTATTTCAATGCTTTTTTGTGTTTGCATATCCGCAAGTAAAACTCGTCTCGATTTGAAATTCTAGTAATACTTGTTCAACAATAGCTAATAAGCCTTGCTTCAAGATTAGAATCAACTTGCCCTAACCAAAATATCTCTAATTAAATAAAGAGTATCTATTGCTCAATTGCAGTATTATGTACATCTTAAATGAAATAGTCTTACACTTGTTTTAAATATACTTAATTTATATTCAATAATACCTTGTTCTTAAATCCAATAGAACTAAATTTGTTGCAATAATAATATGATCTTTGACATATATGTATTGACTTTGGTTGAATTATAGGATAGTTTCATTGAAAAAATTAATAATCTTGAAATAAGAAGCCTTACCCTTTTTTTAAATATACTTTATTGATATTCAATAATACCATTTTCTTAAATCCAATACAACTAAATTTGTTACAATAATATTATAATCTTTGACATAAATATATTGATTTTGGTTGAATTATAAGATAGTTTCATTGAAGAAATTAATAATCTTGAAATAAGATCAGGCTGTTCTTGCTTTTTAATAGGGTTCTCACTGGCACCTATCCACCGAAAAACATTTTTCAAAATTGTTTTTAGTTTATATACCAAATTCCTCTGTCTTCTAAGGTGTCCCGCCTATAATTAAAAAAAAATAATTTTATAACTTCAAAATCTAAATGGAACATTAAAGTTTGTCCTAATAAGATAAAAGGTCGTATCTACAAAATGAATATTTTTAGTAAATGTGGGTATGTAGCAGAGCTGGGTAATTACAATTACAAAGTACATGTTGTAAAAATAGGAATTATATTGATTTAATTACAATTACACGAAAAAAGGAATTAGCAATTACTTTTATAATTACTTTTATAATTTGTCGATAAAACAACAAATTATGATAGAATTGGGGAATCATAAACCAACCGGAACGGTACAAATAACATTTTTAAATAGGTAATTTAAAGTGTCAAACTAACAGCTGTTTGCAACGACTTTCTTAAGGATTCCTTAAAATTGCCGACTAACTACAATGAAGAAGGGGATGAGTCGTAGAAAAAGTTATGTTCTTCAGTGGGCGCCAGGAGTTTAACCTCACATCCAACAATCCATGTGACAGTTCACTACCAAACTCCAAATAGGAAACTATAGCATCTCCTCTACAAGGCCATCAAGCGGCTACAAATCGAGTATGTTCCTAATATATTAAAAGTGTACTTTACCATAAAAATAAATGCTGACAGTTAGCAAGTGGTGGTAAAAAATAAATAAGAAAGATTCAATTTATACCCAAGTTTAATAATTATAAATATAAATCGTGTTGACATGGGGGGCCAACTTCGTTACCACTATCAAATATACTAATATTTACCAAATTAATAACATTTAAATCACTTAGTATATTAACTACTAAATTTCCCACCTATTAACAATAATCCAGTATCACTGGGAGTAATATTTACAACTAAAATGCTATATCAAGCATAAAAATCATTAAATGGGACTAAGGGTAATCGTAAAAATGTAACACATGAGGTGTGTACCGTATTTAGCAAATAAACAAATAATAGTGTACTATTTACGAACGCTAGGGGTAAAAACAAGTAAAATACTGTTACTTATTAAAAATATTAATCACCCATCAGTAATATAACCCACGAAGAGCTCTTGGTGAAGTGTTTCGGGTTTAATAAAATGTACTGTAAACCATACACCCCTAAACCTCGTTTACATTAGGTTTAGATAAAATTATATACTAATAACATCCCCCAATAAAATAGATTAAATAGTAATAAGTAATATAAAAATAAGATAGCAAAAACTTGCGGTACACAGTGACTTCTTTCCAGTAGACGTTGATGTCTCTGCCTCGTTAAGCCGGGATCCAACGGCGCGTGGAATGGCACTCCTCGGCGCGTGGAATGGCACTCCTCGGCGCGTGGAATGGCAATCCTGGGTTGTGAAGTTGAGTCAAGGGTCGGACCGTTCCCACGGTGCATGAGGATCGCGTAGACGTGGACACGCGCCTATTGCAGTCTGTTTTAACGAAGGCAGTGTTGGCGATAAAAAATTCATAATTTTGTTTAATTGCATGAAAAGATGAACCGTGAACGGACGCGTATCGTTGCTGCCTCGGCCTTTTATTTTATGTTAGGAGTTTACAGGATGACAAGAGGACAAAAAATAAAACGAAAACAAAGAAGATGGTGGAGAGTGTCTTTGTATAGAAATCGAGATAGGTAAGTACATTATAGAATATTTTGCAACAAGTGTTTTTTTCACAAGCGTTATATACTATAATTTTTCTAAAACTGCAATTTATTTCAAAAACAAAAACAAAATGGGAGTCTTATTTTACACACTTTTGGAAAAGGCTTGGAATAATAGACATAGTCTGACAGTCATAAAAAATAAACTATGGAATAATTTTTAATTTTAATGTTTTTGTTGCAAATAATATAGTTTTCTTTTAATCATATGTAGGTACAGTGCCATAGACATGTTAGAAGATTTACGCCAAGAACCCTCAGGCTATTTTGAAAACTTTTGTCGAATATCTGCCACTGATTTTGAATATTTGTTAAACAAAATAGGACCTGTAATCGCCAAAAATAATACAAATATGCGAAAGAGCATACCAGCAAAAGAAAGGTTGGCGGTTACACTAAGGTTTTTAGCTACTGGGGACAGTTTTAAGAGCCTTTCATACTTATTCAAGTTTTCACCTCAAACCGTTTCCCGATGTGTTGGAGATGTTTGCAGAGCACTAATGCATGAATTAAAAGATGAAATACAGGTAAGGCGATTTATTTATATTAAAGTAAAAGTAATAAAAAAATAAGCAAAAGTAGTAAAAGTAATAACAATCAGTAGTCTTCATATGGGTCTCCATACGTATCAAGTACAATTTCCTTTTCACTTGAGGAGTTTGAGAAGCTTTGTCTGGTTGCAGCAGATGTCGAGGGTAATGTAGTTGTTGAATGTTGTGAGTAATTCGCAGCATATGGTGACGTCAAGGGCAATAGGGTTGGTTGAATGTGAACTTGTTGGGCTGCTGAGGGTAATGTGGTTGGAAGATGTTGTTCAGACAATATTGGCGCATGAGGTGAATGAGAAGGTGAATTTGAAGACAAAAAATAATGGTTTGAAAGCAATGAGTGGTGTGATGAAGCTGATGACAAAGGTCTTCTACACGTGTGTTGAAAAACCGGCTCAAAATTAACTTGCTGATATTGACTGGAGTTGTGAGGAAAAGGAGCTGTTGACTGAATTGGAACGTTTTGAAGATTCACGTGGCCAAAATGCTGTTTAGTACTCTCATTGTATCTGTGTTTTAAACGATAAACTAACAAGTCAATCTCAATCATTGCCATTTCTCTAGTATCTGCATCAAGGGCCCTCAGTTTTGTAGCAAGGAGTTCTCCGTACAAGGAACACTGATCTGGAGACGTCTGCGTGTCTATTACATTTTTAAAGGCTTTATAAGCTTCGTCCATCTTTTGGTCAATATCTGGTGGCAGGTCATTTTTTCTTTTTACACTCTTTGTTTTAGGAGGTTTCGATTAGCTTTTATTTGCAATTTCTTCAGTAATAGTCACTTCTTCCGACTCTTTTCCGTCAGCATTCTCGTTGTCTTCTTTACGTTCTGCATCTTGTAACATCTGAAATAATAGGAATTCATATTAGACACTATGGCCACAAAGGGTATAGTTCATTCCAAATTTAAATAGATCTATATAGGCTATGAAATGCATTTTCAATGTTGGTATCAATGACAAAAATTTTATTTACCAAGATCTTTACTCACCAAAAAAAGTATTTCTTAAAATATGTTTTTTGTTTCAGCTACCCGAAACTGCAAACGACTGGCGTAAGATTGCCGAAGAATTTAAGAATAGATGGAACTTTCCAAATTGTCTGGGAGCCATAGACGGAAAACACATAATAATTCAGTCACCTCTTCATAGTGGAACTGAATTTTATAATTACAAAGGTACTTTCAGTATAGTACTTATGGCTGTGGTTAATGCTAACTACGACTTTACATACGTCGATATTGGATGTCAAGGTCGCATTAGTGATGGTGGTGTATTTCGACACACGTCTTTCTATGATAAACTTAGCAAAGATCAGTTAATGCTTCCTGCAGATGAACCATTGACCAACGAAGATGTACCTTTACCGTACATATTTGTAGCGGATGACGCGTTTGCTCTAACAACTCGTATGCTAAAACCATATCCCAGGGTATATAACAGAGGTACCCAAGAAAGAATATTTAATTATCGGCTGTGACGGGCGCGTAGAGTTGTTGAAAACGTTTTCGGCATACTTTCATCCGTATTCAGAATTTTTAGGAAGCCGATATTACTTGAAACTCCGCGGGTATCTGAAATTACGATGACATGTGTTTTGCTTCATAGCTTTTTACGCAAAAGTCGAACATCTAAATCAAGGTATATGCGACCTGAGTGTCTCGATTCTGAAGATGAAAACTTGTTCACTCCCGGCACTTGGAGAAATGAACAAAACATGGATTCTTTTCTGCCGTTAAAAAAAGTTGCAAGAAAGCCAGCACAGGATGGAAAAACAATAAGACATTCTTACGCTCAATATTTTGCAACGACAGGAGCTGTATCTTGGCAAAACAAAGTGTAGGGAGTTTAATTTTATATATTAACCTAGTAGTGATAAAATTGTTTACGTATTAGCCATTTTACTGTTTTTTTTTTTAAATTTAATAAAAAGTATTTATTATTATTGTTAGTATTATTTTATTTATTTATATATTTATACAGTGAGGGTCTAAATTATGGAATAAATTAATTTTTTTGAGAATAGGCGGCTATAGAGACAAATGCTAAAACAGATCGATTTTTATTTTTAAATTTTATTTTTTTGATATATATATATAAATATATCATACTAGTGACGTTATTCATCTGGTCGTGATGACGTAATCGAAGATTTTTTAAATGAGAAAAGGGGTCATGTGATAGCTAATTTAAAAGGTTATTAAATTCTCCATTCAGTGATATAAACAATAACATAATTATACAGGAAGGCTAAAAAAATTAATTTTTAAATTAAATTATTTAATACATCGATAGACCACAAAATTTAAAAGATTTAAAAAGTAGAATTAGATTGGAAATTCATAATATAACTCCAAAATGAACCATAATGTTTTCGATATGTCCCCATTAATGTGTCTTTTTTTTTAAATCTGCGATGGAACATTGTATGCTCATTTGGCCTTCAATTCGCCTCCAGGCATCGTGAACTAAATTTCTGTTTTTGTGATTTGGATCCCGTGGGTTCCAAATAATTGGCTCTGCTACATAAAAGGACAAAAATTCTAACACCACTTCATTAGACCATTCCATGATGAAAGTTACCACGGCACTGGCAATACCACTCTCCTAACCGCGCCGTTGGAGCCGTAAGCACGTGTTGCGCGCCAACGTCCGCGCTCCTTTGAACCGTGTTGATTTACCAACAGACGACGGGACTCATCGCGCCGACCGAAGATTGGCAAGCTTGCCCTATCCAACGGAGCGGGAACTGGCAAGTTTGGCGCGTGGAGTGCCGCTCCACGCGCCGTTGGATCCCGGCTTTAGCAGCATACGAATCAATCAGCTGGTCACAATATGTGCTAGTCAGCCCGTCACAAGAATACTGGCCCGTCACGAGAAGTGTTGGCCCTTCATGAGGACTACTGGCCTGTACCAAGGAGTGTTGGCTTTTACAAGAGTTGATAGCCTGTCACAAGAAATGTGTGCCCGTCATAAGAATACTGGCCCGTCAAAAGAAGTGTGTGCCCGTCACAAGAACCCCCTTTTTTAAAATCCGCAAAAGGAGGAATCAAAACTATGCACCAGATCAGATTGAATGGCAAATTCGTGAACGGCTTATTCAGAAAGACTACATATATATGTGGGCACAATGAGATTCAACACGTGGTTAAATATATTCTCCTAAGAGCTCCTACAACATGGTCACCAAAAAAAATACTATCAATCCACAAAGTTGTAAACTTAAAACAAAATGGTTGTTCTGCAATATCCCAAATGGATTGAAACGACTTCCAATAAATTTCGAAACAGTACCTTTCACATTAAAGCCCTCGTGTCGAATATCCGTCTCGAAAATTCCCGAAAAGGCAGAAATCTACATTACTTAAAATTCCAAAAACCAGTAATACCAACATACCTTAGTGACAGATAGGTGTCTCATCAGCACCCTTTATTACGAAATAAATTCTTGACAGAGAGGGCTAAAATAAGCCAACAAAGCCTCTAAAACGAAATAAATAGCCTAAATAAACCCAAATAGAGGTCCAATCTACCCCAAACTAATCATATACTCGCACTTAACGTCAGAGCGGAAACGCTAGATCGACATCTTAAATACAGGGCAGTCACATGCTCACCGAGAGTGTCACAAAAAGACCGCTCTGTTCGAATATCGAACCAAAAGCACGGTGGTTAAAAATACGGGTATAGAAGGACCCATTAAATAATTATTGAACACGGATAAAAACTAGTGTATTCTTATTTTTATGAAAAACCGCTATAAGGCCAAATTTAAACGTTACAGAGCTTTTTTGGATTAATTCTTAATTCTATACTCGAATGAAATAAGTTATTCTCAGATTAATTAATATAACTCTTAAAATACAAGATTATGCCTTTACTTCAGTTAACATTTATTTTCTTGTATCGAAAAATATTATTTGAAGCAAACTCGCTTTATTTCAAACAAATGTAATCTTCCAAGTGTAAAGCTTTTCTTGAATGTAGAATGTAGATATTTTTATGTGCGATTGTCGCGAGTTAACTACCTTAATATAAAGCCGTAATCATTAAAATAGCAAAGTAATTTCGGATACAAAAATGATTGAAACATATGATTACGATATACCCTCTTAAGACGTTCCGTACCGTTTGTACCGAAGGATGGATGCTGTTGCCTTCCTCGTCTACCTAGTATTGAAATTTGGCCAGATACGGAATAAGGGTACATAGGATCGAACTTAAATTTATTGTTGCTCGGTTGGTGCGAAGAGGGAAATTTTATAACATGAGATAATTTTGTTTTCAATATAGAATTTGCAATGTTTCAATATATTTAAAACATAGTTTGATTAAAAAAAATTAGGTAGAAGAATTATATTTGTAAAGTAGGTTTATATTATATTTTCTAAAATAATTAATTTTGCAAAGAATATCAACTAAGCTACTAATATAATAAAATCTATAAATCAGCCTTATAAATAAGGTATTTAACAAATGTTTCATATTATATTAATAATTTACATGTTTTCTGACTTATCTGTGAATGAAACGTGGATAAAATAGTTTTACTTACAAGTGTTTCCTGATTTTGTTGCTGTCTGCTGTTGTAAGTGATCTAATAATTTGTAGAATATAAAATTATTTACAGAAAGATATTTCCTTGGATGCCCTTTTTTCAGCATATAATAAATAAAGTAAAAAGATGACTTAATATTTTATTTTGTACAAATATATAAAATATATTAATTTACACCATTTAACGTAACTTATGCTATTGGTTTAAGAGAATGAAATTCAAAATTATTTTTAGAGAATTATAGAAATAATATTTTAAAAACTGAGGGAACAGAGCCGAAGTGTTTTGTTACTATCCGGCTTTGATTGGTCCGAATTTCATGATGGCTGCCGTTCATTGATGTTATCATATTTTGTTGATGCTAACTTTGAGATATAAATACATATTTTCTCTTTTTGATGTCAACGATTTTAAAAAGAGTTTTTGCTTTTAAAATAAGTGAATATTATAGAAGGACAAACAAACGCCAAAATTGGCGTAATATATTATGAACAGGGTTTCTCCATTTGTTCATTTATGCAGTGAACACCTAGTTAAATTTCATAAAAACACATTATTTTAATATTACATAAATAACAAAAATATAAATTTAATTTTAATATTTTTATTTTCATACGTGTTAATCTATATTTTTTTGTACATCATTGTCCTCTGGCTGATCGCGTCTCTGTGTCACAGTATACCTAAGTATATGTGTCTATGGCGCATTATGATGAGTGAGCCTAACACGAGTGAGACGATATGCCGAATGCATATAGCTAAAAAGAGAAAAAAACATGCCAACAGATCCTGCAAACTGCCAAAGAACACATTAATTGGTGCGCCGCTCACAAACACAAAAGTCAGTTTACTAACTCATATGGTTTATAGATGGTTTTCAACATATTAAAAACAAAACAAATGTAACACTAACTAAAATATTCATTTATTAATAACTGTAGTGCTTGAAAACAGTATGATGTTGATAATAATAACTACACTTAATACAAACTCAAATAATAAAAAAAAACAGCGATATTGGCTCTTGTACAAAGTTTTGATCCAAACTTACATATAATGAAATTATTGGAAAAAGTGAACACCCATTTTAAATTACAACAAGCCGCCACTGATTATGAACCCT